ACAACTGATCTTCAGTGTACACTGAAATCCCAAAGGAATAGGCTCTAATGCCAGTGAAAGAATGGACTTGCCAAGGAAAGCAAGCAGGCAAAGAAAGCAAGCTTCCTTCTTCCATGTCCCTTATATAGGCTGACGCCAGGTATGACCCAGAGTAAAGGTGGATCTTCCCACCTCAAAAGATCTAGATCAAAAGTGGGTCTTCCCTCTTAAAATGATTTAATTAAGAAAAAATTCCTCACAAATGTACCCAGCTGGATGGGTTTTAGTTACTTCCAGATGTAGTCAAGTTGACAACCAAGAATAGCCCATCACAGCCAGCAAGGAGGAGGCGCGAGAACAAGTCTAAGGCAGTCCTACCCTTCCCTACCAGGAATCACTTCATGAAGCCTGTGGCCCCCATGGGTGGTAGAAACAGAGAAGGCAAAGGGGTTCCAGAAGGTGGGAGGAAGGGTCGCCTACACAATTGGAAAATTTTCACACACAAAAAAAGTCCAGATTTCAAGCTATTTTTAAAATATCTGAGGATCTGGCAACCCAAAGCCTGCATATCCCCATGGCAACAGCAGCTGGTGTGGAGGAGCAGCAGCTACCCTGCTTCAGACTGGACGTGTGCTTTACAGCTCCTCATGGACACAAACATACTTGTGTGCACACACACTCTACAGCTCTTTATGGACACACACACACTCTACAAGCTTATCATGGACAGATGAACACACATGCACACAAACATGCTCACAGACTCTACACTCCATAGCACGCACACACACACACACACACACACACACACACACACACACACACACCACACACACACACACACACACACACACACACACACACACACACACACACACTACAGCTCTTCATGGATCTCTCTCCCTCTCCCTCTCTCCCTCTCTCTCTCTCTCTCTCTCCCTCTCTCTCTCTCTCTCTCTCTCTCTCTCTCTCTCTCTCTCTCTCTCTTTCTCTCTCTCCCTCTCTCTCTCCCCCTCTCTCTCTCATGAGAATGTTCTTTATTGACACCTCCCCTTATACACACACACACACACACACACACACACACACACACACACACACACACTGTTGCCAACACTTGACCCACCCAATTTACTCACATACCCTCCCTCAGCATTAGAGTCTGCCAACTCTAGCATAAGGCCTTTGATGAGCAGAAAACTGTGCTGGGAAATTGAGACCATGGTATTTGTCCCGTCACCTTGGAGCTAAGTACCCCAGCTTGAGATCTCCGCACTCAGTTCTTTTTGTTGTAGTGATCATTTTTGTTTTGGGTTACTAGTGGTTTTTCTATGTTATTCGTTGTTGGTGACTTTTGAGGAGGATTGCGGGGGGGGGCGGGGGGCAGTTGTTGTTTCTGTTTGGTTTGGTTGTCATTTTTAAGACAAGGTCCAACTGTATACCCCAGACTGGCCTCCTCCTTCTGAGTACTAGGTGTGCAGCATTGGCACCGGGTCCTTTTCCTCAACTCCTTAGGGTGCTTACCCCTTGTAGGGGGAGTCCCCACTCCCTCCATCTTCAGGGAGAAACACAGTTTGTGATGTAAACCAGAAGAGGGTGTCTCCCCACATCGCTTTGGAGCTGCCTGTGAAGAGCCATTCCTAGCCACCAGTCTCAAGTTGCAATAACATGATCTCTGTGAATGTAGGTTCAGGAAGGGGCCTATAAACCTGCGCTGTAACACAGCTGAGGCCCAGGCTGCTTAGCTACAGGATGGACTCAGGCAGGAATGGCTGGGCCAGGGTCTATTTTTTCCAGTTGACTAGGAAGATCTCAAGAGGCCCACCCACCTCACAGGCCTGCTGGTCTGTGCCCTGGAAGGCAGCACTCCTGCTCTCTAAGAACCTTTTCTGCCTTCTTTAATCCTATGAGAGCTCAGTTCTCCTGAGACCTGTTCTATCAGGTCTGACCCTCAAATTAAATCCCATGTCTTTGGTTCTGTGGGCTTACATACTTTATAGAAAACCACAACAGTCCTCCAGCCCCATCTTACAGGTAAAAAATTGAGACTTAAACAGGTGATTTATCACTTGCCCAAGTCCAGCTAGTAAATGGTAGAGTCAACATTCATAGCCAGCTCGGTAAAGTCTCCTTCCCTAGAAGACAACTGTAGCCTGGGTCTGTGCAGGAGGGAGGAGCTGGATTTTAAGGGCAAAGAACATCCTCTTATTCAGGTCTGGCGTGAAGACACCCCACACAGACCATCTATTTTCTTGAAGCTGAATTTGGGGTCTCTAACAAGTAAGTGATCAATCCCAAGGCTAAGAGGATCCTACTCAGCCACTAGGGAAATGCAGGGCCTGGTCCTAGGAAATTTAGCCTTACCATCCTCACCTATGAACATTCTAAGCAGCCAGGCAGAGATGCACATGCTAAGTTCCTACCTTGAACCCTTGAGGGGGTTCAGAACAGGTAGGCAGCAGCTATTGGCAGCCAGCCTGGGGTCAAATAACCCTAAGAGGTGAGAGACTCAGATGCTGAACTAAACGAACTTGGGTACCACTGAGCCTGACTCAGTCAACTCCAGACTCCTCACAGGGTTCAGGCTTCAGACACTCTCCCTCCCCACTCCTGAAGGACAGAGAAACCCAGGGGTCACCAGACCCTCTGAGACTGTCACAGAGATTCCTGGCCCTGAGGCTAAGGTCACCACCCTAGGTGGAAACAGAGGTTCTGCCCAAATGAATTCATCCATTTCTCCTCTGGCTAATCACAATCACCCTGCACACACTACTCTCCCCCTCCGACTCTACCTGATGAACTCATTCTATCCAGTCATCAAATCTTGGTGATGGTGTCACCTCCTCCAGACAGCCCGTTTTGATCTAGTCCTCCAGCCTGGTCAACTTTAACATCCTTTGTGCTGTAATTATTTCTTGAACGCTGCCGTCCACTCAGAGAAGCACGCTGGAAGTAAGCACAGCCACAGCATGGGGCTTCAGATAGAACACATGGCCACAAAAGAGTCGGCGGGACCCTACTTCTCTGTGTTCGAGATTCCCTTTTTCGGCAGCTCCCCTGCCTCAGAGAACTTAAGATTTCGAAAGGTGCCAAAGAAGCTGGAGACGCAGCTGGAGACACAGCCTGCGTTCCTTTGCATTGGGCCTCGACTACCCCCAAAAGACGAGGGCATGGGACTAGAGGATTTCTTGGACCCTTCTTGGTCAAATTACACATACCCCTGATGAGACCTAACAGATTACAGGGGAACCTGAACTCAGTTTCAGCTTAAAGGAGACTGGAAGAATTTAGATAAAAATGAAAAGAAGGAAGAAAAGTAGGGGGGGGGGTGAGGGGGAGAAAGCAAAACCAATTTCCATGTCCCAAATTTAAAATGCATTCAGCATGTAAGATTTCTCAAGTACATAATTTCTTTTAAAAAAAAATCAATTTGAACACATTGAATTTTAGGATCACAGCAGAGGCAGCCTGGGACAGAAGGTGCCAGGGAAGGAGTGACTAAGAAAGGTGACAAGAAAGGTGCTCATTTTGGCTTCCATCACTCTCACACCAACTCTATTATATACTTTATCTAGAGATGTCATGAACCCAATATACCATTAAATGAGAGGTTTCTGGTGCTTTTTTTTTTTTTTCAAAGCCACTTAACTAATGAAGAGAAGAGGCCCAGGGAGAGGTGATTTTTCTCCAAGGTCGTACAAGTGTATCATACAACACCCCCCAATAGCCTTGATCCAGGGATCAGGAACCGAAGCACATCCGCTGGGGGGTGGGGGGTGCTGCCTGGATACAGCGGCCCCTCACTGGGCAGCTGGGCTATGTATACTCTGGCTCAACCCCAACAGCCTCAGGGAAGTCACCAGGAGCCTTTAAACAACAACCCACTGGGACAGGAACAGACAGGCAACCCAGGCCAATTAGGAACCAGAAAAATCTCTAAGAGGGTGAACACCCAGAACAGGGCGGGGGAGCACGGGGGCTAGCTGTGTCCGCCCAGCTTGCTGCAAGCCTCACAGTCAAAACCTTCCTAAAACAACCCCTTGGCGGCCTTGGAGCATAATTTAATCTTCCTTTGATGACTCCAGATCTCAGCCTGCCTCAGGCCACTCGGAGAACATCAATAATTGCTGAGTCCAGGTGGTAAGCGAAGAGGAGGGACTGGAAAAGGGGTCATCAGCTGACCCTGCCCTGTGGTAGAGGGAGGAAGAACTGGCAGATACTTCAGCAGGAGGATCCCGGCCCTCGCTTGGGGGCTGGATGCCACCTTTAAGAAGGAGGCCCAGGAGGAGAACAGGAGACTTCTAGCAGACAAAACAGTGAACCCCAAGTGGGCCCCTCTCTGACCCCCCAGAGCAGGTGGGATAGGACATCTCCCAGGGGTCCCAGGAAATAGAAACAGCCAGCCAAAAACAAGCTAGTCGTGATTTAAAAGACACACCAGGTTAAGCCACTTTGCTAAGGAAGAAGCAATACAGTGCCCTGCGGAGTTCATAGACTACTGATTCAAACCAGAAGTGGCAATGCACACTTGTAATCCCAGCACTCAACGGGAGCCTAAGCGGGGAGAACCTGCCATGAGCTGAAGGCCAGCTTGAACTATGTATGAGATCCTGTCTCAAAAACCCGAAGAGGAGAGGGAGGTGGAAAGAGGAGAGGGAGAAAGAAAGAAGGAAAAGGAGAGAAGGGGGAAGAGAGAGAGAGAGAGAGAGAGAGAGAGAGAGAGAGAGAGAGAGAGAGAGAGAGAGCTTAAGGACAGAAATGAGCTTGAAGCCGCACCTCTGACCTACTTCCTGGCTGAGGACCCTAAGCAAGTTTCTTAACTTCTTGGTTTCCTGACGATGCCAGGCTAACAGTAGGACTAACCATGAGTTAGTCCTTGAACCAAGCTTCAAGTTGGCTGCTAGACGGTGTCTTAGATATAAGTCTGTGGGAGAAAAGACTAGAACATACCACAGAACTCCCTGCCCAGTTGGCTCTTGGGTGAGATTGAATGTACTTATTTGATTTGTGTTGGTTTGTTAGATTTTCTGTTTTATACAAGAAATGCATGTTATTAGATAATTAAACCATACTCAGAGAAATAAACAAAGCCATAGGGACTGCAGTTGGTCCCCAGAAAGAAGCAGCTGGAAGAAGGCGAGTGAGTCCATGGGTAGACGGAAGAACGGTCACTTGTGTCTGAGACTCAGACAAGAATGGCCCTGGTTTTTCCAGGAGGCCGAGGCATGGCATCTCTGAGACCATAAGGACCCGTGCTTGGGACTTTCTGTCTGGGTGTGCTCTAACACTCTCCACGCAGCTACTCAGGAGACAGCGGGCAGGAAAAGACAGTTGCAGGAATACTGCCTCTCTCACTGGTTCTTCTCAGCTCCAAGTCCTCTGACTAACAACTCAGAGGGGCCCTGGACCCTCAGACCAAAATCCCTTGCCAGATTCTCTCTCAGGAAGGGCGGCCTGGGCCACTCCGCCTTTTGCCCAGCCAGCAGCCCTCTAGGCTCTGCTGCTCTCCATTCCCCAGCCCTGTCTCCACCCCCACCAGCCTTGGCTGAGGCAGCCCTTTCGGGAGAGCTGGGCTTGGTGGGTGCACAGCATTCTCGCTGCCGGATGTTAATCCTCCAAACAAAGTCAAACATTAGCCCAGGAGACAGCTTATGCCTTATATAAGGCCCCCTGGGGGAGACGCAAACAGCCTGTTAGAGCTGAGCTGTCCTACCACAGCGGCCGGCTGCCGGACCCTAGGACAGAGCACGGGCCACCACCACATCCACCTCCAGCCCCACTGGATCCAGCCCCAGCCACCAGGTGAGACGGGATTGAAGGCCCCCAAGTCTAGCACCCAAGAACACCCCAAAACCAGGCCCTGCTTCCTCACTGTGACTAGTCAAACCCCTAGTGCCTTCAGTAACCTGCTTGGACTCTTCTGATACTCCAGCACGGGGGACTCACCCCAGGGAACAGCAAGGAGGCTTTGAACTTGGGAGGGTCCTTTCCAGCCCACACAGAGCAATACAGGAATGTGTATTATTCTCCCCCTCACCCACCTCCAAGTCTGGACCCTTGGTTCCTACTATGTGGCCTGTGCAGCCCCATGCATGCATACCTATAACATATAAGCACAGGGCCACATGCCTGCATTCACACAGCCTTCATGCTGCATCTTAAATGTGTGCATACTGTAGATATCTCTGCGCCCACACATCTGTGCGTGTGTGTGTGTGTGTGTGTGTGTGTGTGTGTGTGTGTGTGTACACTATTGGTATTTCACGTCCCTTCATGCAGCTGGGTATATCCTCATGCATCCACACACCAGAGCCCCCACATCTTTACACATACATACACACAGACATAGCTCCATACACATGCTCATACATGGAACTAGGTACATCTTCGTGCATGTGGTTCTATGTTGCTCCACAGGCCTATATCACACACACACACACACACACACACACACACACACACACACACACACACACACACAACACATCCCTCTTGGGCTGATGCCTTGCCTACAGCTTTGGTTCATCTTGCCTGGCGCCATGACCTTCTCCGAGATTCTGGACCGTGTTGGAAGCATGGGCCCCTTCCAGTACCTGCATGTGACCTTGCTGGCCCTCCCAGTCCTCGGAATAGCCAACCACAACTTGCTACAGATCTTCACAGCCACCACCCCTGCCCACCACTGTCGCCCGCCACCCAACGCCTCAATAGGGCCCTGGGTGCTCCCCTTGGATCCAAATGGGAAGCCTGAGAAGTGTCTCCGTTTCATGCATCTGCCCAATGCCAGTCTTCCCAATGATACCCAGGCGGCCACTGAGCCGTGCTTGAATGGCTGGATCTACAACAGCACCAGAGACACCATTGTGACAGAGGTATGTCTGGCACCCTCCCCCACCTTATCTTAGGTAGTCCCATAGACCCTACAGCACTTGTGGATAGGAAGAGAGGCAGGGGGCCTAGACTTCCTGGGATTGGAGGACAGAGGACTGGGCAAAAAGGAAGGATCCCAGTACTAATGAAGAGGAGCTGAGTGGTTTTGTTCCTTCATGCTCAGAGCCCAAGCACTCCTTCAACAATCCATGGGGGCATTGTTCTTTAGCTGGCACAGTACTAAGTTCCAGGGATTCAGAAAATGTACAGTCCCTGCTCCTGGTAGGGTGTTATAACCTTGTTGGATAGCATCAGTGGGTGAAAACACCACATGAAGAAGTGTAAAATGACTTGTTACCTCATGCTATGCTGTGACCTTGGACTGTGACCTACCACCATTGGACTGGTTATAGGGACAGGAAAGGGTGGGCACTGCAGGAAGCCCTTCTAAAGACGCAGCCCTGGAGCTGAGACCGGAACACCAGGCAAGGGTTAACCAGACTAGGAGGGAGAAGAGGAACATTCCATCCTGTGTAAAGCACTGTGTCAGGGGAGGGGGGTGTAGAAAGGGATTTCGCGGAGCAGATCCAGGGGGTGTCAGTCGCCCACACAGGTACTATGGCTTCAGTCACCCACACAGGTACTATGGCTTCACCTCCCAGTCATCCTTCTTGGAGGAGCTGATTCTCTCACTAGAGTTAAATCAAACTAGAACTAAAACTAGAGTTTAATCAAATCCTTCAATGAACTGACAGGCAGGAGACTGACAAGAGGAAGAGAGGAGACAGGAATGGTGTTTACTGAATGTCAACTGATTGCCAGGCATAGTTGGGTGCTTTGCAGATACTGTCTTGCTGCTGTCGAGGGTGAGGCCCTCAGTCCTGGGGAAGAGAAGTGATTGTTCAGTGCAGTGTACACGATCAGTTTCACGGCTGGATTTTAAAGCAAAATGGCCCTAAGTACAAAGTACAAGGGATGAGTTAGCTGTAAATTCCAGGGAGGCTTAATAAAGGGACACCCTGTGAGCCCCACAAGTGCAGGATCCAAACATTGCTTCACTAGAAGACCTTTGCCTTGCAAATACAGTCCCAGGTAGCCACTCTGTGAGTCTGGGCTTTCTGAAATCCTAAGGAAGGCAATGTCTTTAGCTCCATTTCACAGATGAGGAATGGAGGCTCAGCCCTGACTTTCTTCTGTAGGCAAAGGTAGGATTTGAATCCAAGACCATCTACACCATCTATATAATTATTCGTGTAGTTAACAAATATTTATTCTACAGAAAGCATTTGTAATATGCCAGACATATTCTAAACACCTTGCAAATGTTAACACTTTTGATCACATCTACTATTTTTCTGCTCTGTGTCAATCATAGCATTCAGATGATATAGCATCAAGTATCCAGAACATTGGGCACATTGGTGTTATGATGCAGAATGCTGAGGCCACAGAGTCAAAGAAGACACTAGTCTCCCAGGTGCTTACCTTTAGAAGGTACACAGATGCACGCCCCTAGGGGTCCAGTAGTTTGATGAAATCTGCATGGATTCACTGCTGTGTCCCCAGCACCTGGAATAATACCTGGCACAGAGGAGGGGCTCTGAGGAGTAACTATTTGTGGAAGGAATAAATAAATGTTCCATAATCTTAAGATTCTGAAAACCTTAAGATTCTGAAAACCCAATGGAGAGGTTTCTAACCAGCACAGGGGCCAGGAGGTCCTGTTGGAGTCAAGTCACGCTTGCTCTGACAGTAAAAGAGAAGTAAGAGGTAAGGAGTGAGCCCAAATGGGCAGTACACCCCAGATATGAGGCACAGAATGCCAAATGCAAAGTCACAGATGCACAGACTGAAGAATAGATAAGAACAGTGAGGCATGGAGGCTGTTGGACATGGGACAGGAGAGGACAGCAGGATGGCCTGGTGTGGTCACTAAGCCAAACGTGTGGCCTCTGTAACAAGGGAGTAGGAGCCATCGGATGTGGTAGTCTTCAAGAGGGAGTGTGGCAGGCTCAGGTTGCCATCTGAGGAGCCTCACTCCGCAGGATAGAGAGTGGCTTGTAGGGAGAGCTTTTGTCTACCAGCAGGGAAAGCTAGTAGGAAGCTGCATAGGACTCTGGGATGGAGGTGACACATAGATGGAATGGTGGGTTTAGAAACTAGAAGAGGACAGGGAATTGGAATCTGAGGACCTGGTGGCTGAACGGATGTGGGAGAAAAGAGCAGATAGGAAATCCAGGACATGCCCACAAGTTTCCCAGCGTGTGAGCGAGAGGAGAAAGTGAAGAAAGAGAGCGCTCGCAGGGAGTGATGAGATGCCTAGTCACGGACATGGCGTGTGAGTGCACAGGTGCCAGATAGATAGAGGTGTGTGCATGGATTCATTTCATCCTCACAGCCCTCGGAGTTTAGCACCTGGATTATCCTGTTTGCAGAGATGAGGAAGTTGGAAAACAGGTCCCTAGTCGAGGCACAACAGTCACACAGGGCAGAGTGGAGAACTCAAGTCCCTGAGGTAGGACTCTAGAGACCATGCTCCTTAAGGCTGCACAGAACCTGACCCGTAGTTCATGAGACTGGCTGTCCACCCTTCACCCCACTGAGAGAACTGGGTGGTCTGACTCATCTACAGATGCCCCACCCCACCCTGCAGGAGTTCCTCCAGGACAGGGACAGTATCTCTCCCACCTTTATCTGTCATCACAGGACTAGGTATGCAGTAGGTGCTTAAACAATGCTAAATACAGGATAAGTTCTTCCTGCAGAGGCACTGCTGACCACTGAGGAACAGCTTCCTCTCCAGGTCATTCCTCAGGTGGGCTTCCGGGAGCCATGCCAAGGGCAGAGGCTACAGAGCTTCATACACAGTCAAGCGTCAGTTCACCTTCGTGCCAGCCAAATTTCCAGTCACCATTACATTCCTTGAGATGATGTGAGTCTGCACAATGCAGGGGATCAGCAGTCCTCAGGGGGGCTGCACCCTTGTCCATGTCAGACCTCATTTAACTCTACATTAAGCTCTAATTCCCTGGGGACACAGCCATGACAAGCCCACAAGAAGGTTCTCCTACCCTGCCCAGCCACTGGAACATTAATGGCCAAACCCAACAACCAGAACAAACACAAGCGCTGTGGTCTTCTGTTCATTCAGCCATGGCAAATACAAGCTCCATCTGCTTGGGGTGGGTAGAATGGAGTTCTGCCTCCCATGTGATAGAGGCAATCAGGACTTTTCAGAAGGAGCTTTAACGAGGACATTAAGAGGAAACAAAGACCTTTCTTTTATGCCTGGAAAGCTCGGGAGCCTGGGTGCTGATCCCTAGGTTCTCAGGAGTATAACTCACAGCCACATACACTGACTCAGCCCACAGCCCCCTGGGCCTGGGACCAGCCTCAAGTGAGCAAAGTGCGCCTTTCAAAGGCCCCTGGGCTTCCGTTTGGCTTTGTACCCTCCTGTCCTGATTCCAGGGCCACAAGAAGTTCATGACCTGTACCCCAGGCAGGACCCTTGCAGGGTCCTTGGTCAACTACCTCTGACCTCCCGGTCCTCATCACCAAATCCCCAGGCTACCCAGATTCAGGACACTTACCGGTCTGTCTCTTGTGTTCAGTTCCATTCCTGCTCCACATCCCCACTGGCTGCCCTCAACCCTGCTTGAAGCACTCTCTGCTTCAACCTCTTCCTCAGCCTCCTGAGCAGAGTGGCCCTTCTCGTTCCTCCCTACCACCTTTCTGCTGTTCCAGGCCAGGCAGGAAGACAAGGTAGAGGTTTCTGTCATTTCCTTCCAGAACCAGCTCCTTGGGGCTTAGTTATGCCACCAGACTGGGAAAAGAAATCCAGTGCAGGACTAGGTTATGGAGAGCAAGAAGGCTGTGTAGAACTCAGTACTTGCTCCCAGGGTTGTTGCTATTATCACTATTCCCACCCATAAGAAAAAAGAAAGCATGTATGCCCAGGCCAAGGAGTCTCTCTTAAGCCAATAGGTAGAAATGCCACATGTATCTTCCACTTCAACTTCCTTATCAATAACAACATGGCTCCCCTCAGGTACAGCATCACACAGGAAGTGTGCTTTTTTGCTGCAAAGGAAGGAGGTGAAGTAATTTATGTGGGCAGTAGGTCCTTTCTTTAAATTTTCCTGAACGGCTTAAGACGGCATGTCATAAAATACCAGAACTCTCTCTAAACACCTCCCACCCCCACGACCGCCACGCTTCTCTCCCTACGCCCTCACTTCCTCCTGTATTCCGTTTCCTCCATTGCTGCCACACCATACCATGTAGATCTCCTTCCCTGTTAGAAATGTCTACCAGGATTACTGGACATGTTGGCTCACCTGGAGCTAGCTGGAAGATCTGGAGTCCTCATCCACCCCCATCCCACCTCACTTCCAGAAGAGAAAGGTAGAAAAGAACTCCTTGGGCTCTCCCCACACTTTATTTATGAAACACTCTTAGGAGGCATTTCTAGGGAACATTCTTCACTTCATTACACAAGTAATTCAGGATGTCTGGAGCAAAGAATGTGTGCTGGGATTAGCAGGAGATTAGAGCAGACAGGTTGACCAGGCCAAAGCATAGCCAGCCTTATAAACCTCTCAGCAGGGGAGTGAGTGTCCTTACCTAGCCAACAACAGGGAACCAGGGACTATTTAGCAAAATAGAAACCTAAAAGCCAATTTTGTCATTGGGAAAGGAGTGGGGAAGACTTGTCATGCACTTGTCGCAGTAACCTGCTCTGAGTCTGTTTCCTCACCTGTAAAACGGGAACATACAACATGGATGTTGTGAGGCTTAAAGAAATTAAAGTATAGAAAAATTTTAACTTATGACAGTGCCTGGTACAGGGAGCCCTCAGCAAACATCAGCTGTTACTATGCATTCAGAGGCAAGACAGTGAAGCCTATACTAAGGCAATCGTAATGAAAATAGAGGGCCTGGAGGGTAGGCTCAGCAGTTAAGAGCACTTGTTGCTCTTGCAGGGGACCTGCTTTCTGTTTCTGGCATCTACATGGCAGTTCACAACCATCCATCCATAACGCCAGTTCGAGAGAATCTGACATCCTCATCTGACCTCTGGAGGCACCAGCCACACACGGTGCACTTACACAGATGCAGGCAAAACACTCAATATACACAAAAGAAATAAATCTAAAAAATAGAAAAATCCATTCAAAAACAAATGCAGCTGGGTGTGGTGGCACACTCTTTTAATCCAAGCACTAGGTAGGCAGAAGCAGGCAAGTCTCTGTGAGTTGTTCTATATAATGAGTTCCAGGATAGCCAGAGCTATGTAGAGAACCCCTGTCTCAAATGTGTGTGTGTGTGTGTGTGTGTGTGTGTGTGTGTATATGCATATTAATATATATATATATATATTTGAATATATATATTTGAAACTTGAAGATCAAATGACTGTGGGGTGGGGTATCTGCAAACACCAGAGCCAGCAGAGTTTTGATCTGAGTGAGGCAAGAAGTCCAGTTCAACATGACTCAGTAACTTGTGTTGGTTCAAACTTCTAGAGTCTGATCTCAGGTAGTTTATTTTAGGCATATTTAAGTATAGTACAATTTTGGAAAAGTTTTCGTGACAATTAGCTCAATCTTGTGTGCACAATAAAGCTTAAGGCATCATGCATCAAAACTCTTAGTGATCTCTTCCATAAAGATGGGTTCTAGAGATTGGCTGAGAAACAATGCTCACAATAAGGGTCCAAGGCAGTGAGTGGTTCTCAACCTTCCTAATGTTGCAACCCTTTAACATAGTTCCTCATATTGTGGTGACCCCCAACCATAAAATTATTTCATTGCTACTTCATAATGGTAATTTTGCACTGTTATGAATCATAATGTAAATATCTGATATGCAGGATATCTGATATGCAGCCCCACAGGTTGAGAACCACTGGTCTAGGGAGAATGAGTAAAATAAGCATAAGAGTCTAGGGGAAGCCAGGTGTGGTGGTACATGCCTTTAATCCCAGCACCTGAGAGGCAGAGGCAGGTGGATCTCTGAGTTCAAGCCCAGCCTGGTCTACAAATCAAGTTTCAGGACAGCCAGGGCTACACAGAGAAACCCTGTCTCAAAAAAGAAAAGAAAAGAAAAGAAAGAAAGGAAGGAAGGAAGGAAGGAAGGAAGGAAGGAAGGAAGGAAGGAAGGAAGGAAGAAAGGAAGGTCTGGGGAAATCAGGTGTAGCCTGGCCCTCCAGATAGCACAGGTCACCAGGCTATTACTTACGTACATTCCCAGCCTTCTAGGTGGAAAATAAATTATACCTGTCTCCCTTTGAAGAGACAACCATGCATGTTTAACATTCCTGGTTTCCCTAGTGCATATCTGTGAGCACCAAGATATCATGTCCTCTACGGGGCAGGAGAGAGAGGAAGGAGTCAAAAAGGGGACACCAGCATGCTCTCTTATACGTGGGTTTCTTAGGAGTATAGAATCATATTTGTCAGAGGCCATGGATTGAGGAGATTGGTGTGGAGTGGACGCAGGAAAGCTACTCATCAATGGATACACAGCTGTAGGTGAATGGGAAGAATAAGCTTGAGTTCTGTTTGCACAGCAGGGTGATTATAATCCTCACAGTGCATTGAATATCAAAACAGCTGAACGGAGAAACTTTAAATGTATTACCACAAAAAAACATAAAGCAGGGAAAGTTAAGGACAGGTTTCCGTAGCATGATTTATTCTTTGCATGAATGTTGAAAACATGGCAGTGTTACCCACACGTGTAATATAGTTAGGATTCATCGATTCAAAGCCGTGTAAATTTCAAAAATAAAGATTTTTAAAAGCCAGGTCTGCCATTCGGTGTGCAAGGAACCTTACAATGAGTGGAATGACAAGTCCTGTTAAGTGTGGAATGTTCGTGGGCCGTCATCCAGGTAGTGTTTTCAAGTATGCCACAGACTCCAATGGCCTGAAGGCCAGAGGAGAGGCTGGGCTGCAGAAATCGGTTTGGGCTCTTCGGCATGAAGAGTAGGTGGCCGTGCCTTGGGGAAAGTGCCTTAGATGAAGAGCAGGATCCAGAGGGAGCCCTGGGGAAGCTAGCAGGATGGCGGCCCAGGGAGAAGAAGCGGGGAAGGTGGGGGCAAGAAGCAAGAGGAGAGCCAGAGGGAGGGGAGCCCAGGGGTAAGTCAGGTCAGAATGCGGAAGGTCTGTAGTGCGGTGACAAAGAAGCTATGGGTGGCTTGGTGAGCACAGCTTCCGTGTGTTGGTCAGGGCAGAACTGAGAAATGAGTGAAGAGGGTGCGTGGCCACGAGGGTTCTTGTTGAAGAGAACTGGAAAGTGTATAGGGAAGACTGATGGAGAAGAGCTGGGAGAGAAAGAGAGGAGGAGGAGGAGAGAGAGAGAGAGAAAGGGGAGGGAGGGAGAGAGGGAGAGACCAAAAGAGTAGACCTTAGGAGGAGAGGTGAGGTCAAGGATGCAGGTGGGGAACTAGCCTTGGAAATGTGGGGGAAACGAGGAGGCAGATTGGGAGCTGCAGAGCACAGATGGACTTTCAGTGGAAGGGGCTGAGGACAGAGGTCAATGGGGCAGCTGAGCAGACTCTGTAAACCATACAACAGGTCACACACACTTGAGAAATGCTATCATCAAGCGATCATGGGTCAAAGGCCTAAGGAACTCCCCCCCACCCACCCACCCCAAGGCAGAAAGAACTGGTGCTTGGGAGCCAAAGACCAGGCTCAGGGAAGCCAAGGCATCTGAGTGCATGCATGCGTGCCGCACGCACACATGCACGCGCATGTGAAGGTGCAGGCTGAGCATGGCTTGAGGGGACTGGACTGTGTTGAACTGGCATGGCCCTACTTTGCTCTTGTGCAGTGGGACCTGGTGTGCAGCTCCAAAAAACTGAAGGAGATGGCCCAGTCGGTCTTCATGGCAGGCATACTGATTGGAGGGCCCGTGTTTGGTGAACTGTCAGACAGGTGAGGCTCGGGAGCACATTCCACGTACATCCCCTCCTCACTCTGTTACGCCCATGTACCCCAAAGAAGCAAAAGCTGGGAGAGGTGGGAAGGATGATCCTCCCTGGGCAGATACCATTCCCTTGTCCCAAAGTCCTCTCAACCCAGGTTTTCAGACACAGGATTGTGGTTACATAGTGTAAAGCCAGGGCAGGTGGATTACTTAGAGATACGTGGTCTTTTGACCTCTGCTCGGTCAGCTAAGCAGAGGCAGAGGAAATAACTCATTAACTGCAAACTTGTTGACAAACAGCAATTACCAGCAAGGCTCTGTCTGGTGAGAGCGTTATATGCTCCACCTGGTCTTTGAGTGAGGATTGGGGGTTAGCCTTCAGCCCTTTGCCCCAAAGCCTGCAAAGTCACCCAATCTGGCAATCAGACGCGGTGGCTAACCTGGCCCTTCCTCTCTTCTGAGCTGCAGGTTTGGCCGAAAGCCCATCCTGACCTGGAGTTACCTAATGCTGGCAGCCAGTGGCTCAGGCGCTGCCTTCAGCCCCAGCCTCCCCGTCTACATGATCTTCCGATTCCTGTGTGGCTGCAGCATCTCAGGCATTTCTCTGAGCACCGTTATCTTGAGTGAGCCACAGCGGGGGCCCGAGCAGGAAGGCTTTGGGGAGCACCAGCCAAAAGCTGAGAGAGTGGGTTCGATTCAACCAGAGGCCTACCTTTGATTTCTTAAGATCCTTCTGAATTTCCCAGCAATCACAAACATAATGACAGCAGCTATGACGCTATAGGACTTGCCTTGGGTCTGAGTCCTCTGCTAGGCATATGGTCCTGTCCAGTGCATACGCAGAAGAGAGTGATACCATAGCTGTTTACAGATGGTGAAGTTGAGGTGCAAAGCAAGGGAAGTTACTTGCCGGTGGAGAGGCATATTAAGATTGAAGTGGGGCAGAGAGAGGCTCAGACTTGAGTCCTGTGTCCTTGAGTTTCAGACGCAATATCTGCAAAATGATGGTAATTGAATCCTTTAGATCAGATGAAGTCAGGTAGCTACTGGGAGGCAGAAGCTGATACCACTTCACAGGGAGGTGCCTGAGGCCTGGCGAGACCCTAATCTAGTCCTTGGGCTCCTCTCACAGATGTGGAATGGGTACCCACCTCGATGCGGGCCATCTCATCAACATCAATTGGGTACTGCTACACCATTGGCCAATTCATTCTGTCCGGCCTGGCCTATGTCATTCCTCAGTGGCGCTGGCTACAGTTAACTGTGTCTGTTCCCTTCTTCGTCTTCTCCCTGTTATCCTGGTATGTGGCCCTCTTCTGTTCTCCTCTCCACCCAATTCCACCAGGGACAAATAAGGGATCCATGCCTAATCTAGCTATCCAACTCCATCTGTCCCCAGTTCCCTTGCGCCAGAGTCAAGGAAGGCCCTCCAGGGTGGAGGAGTTACATGTACTGAGGCATGCTGTAAGAGAGATGAGGTGTTGGGGGCACTGGAAGCTACCTGCAGCTGAAGAAGGGGCATGAGCTGAGATGGGCAGGAGGGGGCTGGTCCATCATGAGCACAGAAATCCAGGGTGGCCTCAACTTCACGTGGAAGATGATGGAAAAGCACAGAAAGTGTCTGTGGGGCTGGCAGGCCTACCCAAATTTCTGTCGGGGAGGCAGGGAATGGCCCAGAAACACAGACCCACATGGTGAGGCCGAGGACAGAAGGGAGGGGGCTGTGCAGGCTGGAGGATGCTGGGAGAGAAATCTGAAAGACATTTTGAAGGAAGTATCTACAGCATTGGGAGATTTTCAGATGAAAAGTACAAAAGAATATCCACAGTGGAGCCTCAGCCTGGAAATCTATGAGAACTGAGGTGGTCTGCTGCGAGACGCAGAGAGGCCAGAGATCAACCTGTTGAACCCCAGTTCACACAGGAAGACGGAAAAACTCAGCCTGCATAACTCGCTGTTGAAGCCAAGCACTGGAAGTCACAAGCATTCCGAGGGAGACTGTGAAACCGTGGAGTAACTATTTGTAAATTATGCGTAATACCCCATCCTGGACATTAATTAGCGTTGTCTCTGGTCCTTGTCGCACCTCCGTTTGATGGGAGCGTTACTGTCCCTATCCAAAGATGAGAAAACTGAGGAAAACTCGGGGAAAGTGACATGGAAAAGTACAGACTCAAGATGGAACTTCAACTTGGAAATGAACATAGGAGTGTCGGAGATGAATCGCAATCTGAAAGGGAGGGTGGGACGAGAGAGTGGGGGCAGAAACGTGCAAAACCTGGGGTGGGAGCAGTCCGAGTCGGGAGACCGAAGGGCCAGGTGGTCAGCAGAGTACTGGTGAGAGCTCAGTGCCCTTTACCCCGTGGCTTGGGGCAGGCCTCACCCATTCTGAGTCTCAAGACTTTTCTAGATAAGATGGGGATGGCATTGCTGATTACCCTAAGTTTTGTGGGGCTAACCTACAGGAAGGCTTGCTGAGTGGGAGCCATTGCTGTCAGTATTCTCGGGAGACAAGGCTGGAGCCCTGGGCCCGGCCATGAAGCATGAGAGGAACTCCTTCACAGTCTTAGTGAGAGCAGGCTCACAGGACTGTCAAGGTAGAAACGAAGCTATATGTCCATGAGCAACAGACTCAAAAAGTTGGGATCAGGGGTCTGAAGCCAGGTATCAGTGTCCACCTGAGTTGAGATGGGCAGGAGGGGGGCTGGTCCATCATGAGCACAGAAATCCAGGGTGGCCTCAACTTCACGTGGAAGAGGATGGAAACGCACAGAAAGTGTCTGTGGGGCTGGCAGGAAGGCCCTAAAGGAATCCAGACCAAGGAAAGTTAGGGAAATAGAGGTAAATGACCCTCCAGCTGTCCAGTCTCAGGTATGCCATCCCCTCCCCAGGCTCCACCTACCTTAGTCTAGTCCTTGGGGCTCTTAACTAAGGAAGATATCCAACAACAGCCACCAACCTAGGTTGGGAGCATTGGAAAGCTGTTTTAGAAGTGCGGGGACAGAATGCTGGAATTTGTGCTAACTAGAGGCAGCCCAGATACAAAGATGCCAATGTGAAGTTCCGCAGAAAGTGCACGAGGCACCTGAGGTTTCTGGGCCTCCTATCCCATGACCCTGGATGCAGACATCTCAAAAGGGACTCTGGAACGGGAACCATTATGTTTTGACTCTGGCCCCCAGGTGGGTACCAGAGTCCATTCGCTGGCTGGTTCTGTCTGGAAAGTTCTCAAAGGCCCTGAAGACGCTCAAGCGGGTGGCTACCTTCAATGGCAAGAAGGAGGAGGGGGAAAAGCTCACCACTGAGGTAGGTGAGGAGGGATTGCAGTTGGGGCAGGAGCATGGGTCTGCCTCCCTTGCCTCTGTTTCCTTGGCTTACAGCTGTCTTCCATCTGCTCCCCCATTGAATCCTCTGGAAGAACTTAGACTTGAAACCTCCTTCCCTTCCACTGGCTAGGCCCACTAACAGCACCCTTCCTTCTCCTATGTCCCAAGGAGCTGAAGTTCAACCTGCAGAAGGACATCACCTCAGCCAAGGTCAAATACGGCTTATCTGACTTGCTCCGGGTATCCATCCTGCGCCGTGTGACCTTCTGTCTCTCCCTGGCCTGGTAACCTGCCCACCTCACCCTACCCACGCCCTGCACAGGGTTGATGAACAAGGAGGTGTCCATCAGGGCAAAGCCTAGGGTACCTGCAAGAGAAATCAAAGGAATACCTCCTGGGGGCCACCAAGCCCAGCTTCCATCCCAGAAGTCCCATATTCAGCTAAGAGTGTCTGCTTCCCTCTGAGGTCACACCACCCCACACAGGGCAAGTGCTCTGGACCCTTCAGTGCACCTCCTGGTGACAGAACTTTCTCCACAGTCAGCCTCTCTGCCCCTGAAGCCTAACTCTGCCCTCTGGAGCCACACAGAGCAGAGCTGACCCTGCAGGCTGCAGACTTTCAGGAAGCAATTCTATATCTCCCAAATTTCCTCTTCTGACTGATCCTACATCTTCCCCCAAGTCCTTTTGTGACCTAATTGTGAGACCATTTTCCATCCTAGTCTTCCCCAGGATCAAATTTGTCCCACACTTTGCCATAATTCTGAGAGAGGAGGAGGAATTATGTTCACACGGTTCACAGCTTGACTTTCACCTCTGCCTCTCTGGATGTTCCACTTCTACTGAACAAAAACAGATCATTTCCTGCCTCCTCTAGTCTCTGAGAGTCCCTCCAGTCCTGTTATTCTATGGAGCCAATCTTGGGCACCTTTGCTATGAACACCCTAGACCATGACCATGCAAGACATGACCAATCGATCCTAGCACTTTTCCTTGATTTCAGACACAATCTCATAAAACTCAACTGTACTCAAGAAGACTATATCAATCAGTTATAGATAACACAATAAGCAAAACTATTTATCATTCTGGTAACCCATGGACAGCTATGGGAAGAGATCTCAGCTTGGCTACAGATGCTGATCAATGCCTCTCTGTCTCTCAGGTTTTCTACTGGTTTTGCCTACTACAGTTTGGCTATGGGGGTAGAAGAATTTGGAGTCAACATCTACATACTCCAGGTCATCTTTGGTGGGGTCGATATCCCAGCCAAGTTCATCACAATCCTCTCCATAAGTTATCTAGGCCGGCGCATCACCCAAGGCTTCCTCCTGCTCCTGGCAGGAGGGGCCGTCTTGGCACTCATCTTTGTGTCTTCAGGTGAGAGGTTAAGGCTACCCTACGATCTTTTGGAAGAATCTGATACAGGCTGGAAAGTGACTTCCAGCTTTGTTAGCCCTCCTCCAATTCACTGTGCTGGCCTTAAACAGATTCCTATTTTTTGTGGGGCTCAGGTTACTCTTCTAGAAAACAATCCAATTGGCCAACATGAAAAAGCATTAGGAGTAGCAGATGGGTTTTTACTCACCTTTTCATATGAACTTCTGGGCAACCAAGCACAAAGGGAGACAAAGTCTGCTAAGGAGTGAAACCATTCAGGTGCTCATGAACACCGAGGCCCATCCTCCAACCCCTTCCCATGTAGAAATGCCGCTCGTGAGAACAGCACTGGCTGTATTTGGGAAAGGATGCCTGTCTGGCTCCTTCAGCTGCCTCTTCCTCTACACGAGTGAACTCTACCCCACAGTCCTCAGGTAGGTGATGCACCGGGGTCAGGGGCTAACAGATGGAACTGTAGCATCCTCCTCCTGCCCTCTACCCAGGGGTCCCAGGACTGTCCTTTAAAAGCCCTCTGCACAGGCTGCCAATCCCTTCTCTGACCCCTCCCAGGCAAACAGGTATGGGCGTTAGTAACGTGTGGGCTCGAGTGGGAAGTATGATAGCTCCCCTGGTGAAAATCACGGGTGAGGTGCAGCCCTCTCTCCCTAATGTCATCTTTGGGACCACGGCCCTATTGGGAGGCAGTGCTGCCTTCTTCCTGCTTGAGACCCTCAACCGGCCCTTGCCTGAGACTATCGAGGACATGCAAGACTGGTGAGTTCTCTGCCTCTAGCCCCCAGGACTCCCCTTTGAGCAAACAGGCCAGAGCTCCAGGCTTTTCCTAAGCTCTGTGTCTCTAGGCACCAGCAAGTCAAGAAGACAAAGCAGGAGCCAGAAGCAGAAAAGGCATCGCAGACAATCCCTCTGAAGACTGGTGGATCAGACCCAAGCTGAGAACAGAATCTTCTCCCCTGCCCTCCAGAGACCGATCCCAAGCAGGATCCTTCCAGGGCTTCTCAAGCACCTTAGGGCTTGGGGGAGACCCTGGGTGGGCCCATACTCTTAGAACAAAGATTTCTGAGAGTTCAGTCAAGGTATCTCCACCATCACCACCTCCACCGTCGCCCACAACCCAGACCTCACCTGTTCAAAGCTCTGACCACAAGGCTTCCCATACTCACCCCTGCACTCATCCTCCCTGCAACCCAGGGCCTGCCCTCCCATCTGCCCTTTCTGTATTGGCCACTTTCCTCCATTGTCCCATCTCCATTTCCCTTGAGATCCCCTAGCAGGTAGTTCTTTCCTCCCCCAAATTCTTTCCTTGGTGGGAAATTTCAATAAACCACAATGAAGAACTCAGGCCACGCTGCTTGGGAAAGGAGATGGGAAAGAGGGCTGGCCACCCTGTGGACATGTGAGCACACACATGTCCATCTGTACTACTTAGGCATACAGCTATGGGCACTCAGCGGCGTGCAAGCTGGGCTACTGTGAACATGTACATGTATTCTAGTCTGTGCAGCTGTAGCAGACAACCACAGGCTGGATTGTCTAAACAATAGAAATGTATTGCCCATAGCTCTGGAGGCTGGGGAGTCCAACCAAGGTCAAGGTATTGGCGTTCAGTGTCTGGTGAGAACCTTCTTATGGTGTCCCCACAAAGCTGGTTCCCTCTGGCCATTTCTATCTGTGTTAGTCAGCTTTCTATCACCATGACCAAATACCTTAAAAGGTGTTATGTGGGCTCTCAGTTCAAGGTTTTGAGCCACACTCACTAGGTACTGTTGTTTCAGAGCTAAGGGAGAACATCAAGATGAGGAGCACTTCACCCTTCTCCAAAGGTCTGTACTCCCAAGACCTGCTAATCAAATAGTTCCAGAACCCTACACGAGCCCCTGCCTTTGTTAGGGTTTTTACTGCTGTGGTAAAACACCATGACCAAAAGCAACTCGGGGAGGAGAGGGTTTATTTCATCTTACAACGTTCAGGTCACGCTCCATCACTGTGGGAAATCAGGACAAGAACTCAAGGCAGGAACTGAAGCAGAGGCTATGGAGAAACATTGCTCATTGGCTTATTCTTCCTGGCTTTCTCAGCCTGCTTTCTTACAGAACCTAGGACCACCAGCCCAGAGGTGGCCTCACCCACAGTGGGCTGGACCCTCCCACATCAATCATTAATCCAGAAAACACCCCACAAGTTTGCTTACAGGCTAGTCTTACAGAGGCATTTTCTCAATTAAGATTCCCTCCTCCTAACTTGTGTTAAGTTGACAAAAAGTGAACCAGAACACTCAGCTGGGATCAACTCCGTTCAAGTGCTCCACAGTAGCTATTGGTGACCACATAGGACAACACCAACACACTCTATGAATTCTCATTACCAAGCACAGAGCTAATGACTACTCTCAAGTATGTATTTAAACATATGAGAGGGTGCTTAATAAACATGAAAAGGATTATATTGCACCCTGCCTCCATCTTTCAGTGATTTCTCATGGGGATAGAACTTCAACCTTCGTACAAGATCCACCAGAATCAGGCCCCAACCTGCCTCAGCAATTTGTTTTTAACACTCCACTTTTTCAGGCTAAAATCCAGTCTCACTCAGTTTCTTTCTGCTCAAAAACTGCTCCAGCCTTTCACTCAGCACTCGGATTTTCCCTGTCTGACTCCCACTGCATTTGGCGCATCCACAACTCATCTTGGGGGTCTCAACTTGTGCAATTTCCTCCCAAAGGACTTCTGAGGCTCTAAAGCCTGGGTTAGGCACCCTACTGGTTGTACAATGAATCGTGGTCTCAGTTGCATCTTGGTGTAGATTTCTCCAGAAGCAGACCCCAAGACAAGGATTTGATGTAAAGTGGCTTATTGGGGAGGATAGTCAAGAAAACAGAAAGTAGAGGAGTAAGTCTGGGAAAGAAAGCGAGAGCTGGGAGGAGAGGGAGTAAAAGGCAGAAGGATCCCTCTGCTACCCGCTCCAAGCCCCACCCACACCAGCCTGTCATCCAAGCTCATGGGAAACGGCCATTTACACTTGGTTTGCATGCGGGAGTCTCATTTGCCAACCTTTAGATAATTTGGGGCTGGTACACTGACCGTCGAGACCTGACTTTCCCAGTGAGGCTGTCAGGCCTTAGAACTTGATGCCTACTGATGGGGCTTCCACCTTGCTTAAGATCAGCTGACAATCGGGCCAGCAACGCCTCCCTTGGTTTCACTAGGTCTCCACCAGACAGAGAAGAACAGGGCTCAGTGCGGATCACTGGCCTCTACCTTCTCCCCACCCATCAGTGATCCAGAAGTCAGGACGGCTCCTGGAATGTCCTGACCATGATCGTTTCTGCACTGCTCCAGGGTGTTTCTTACAGACACGTAGTGAGGGAAAGGCAAATGCCCAGAAAGCATTTTCTGTTGCTGCCGTCGGGATTCACAGAGAAACACCAAACTCCTTTCCTCCTCCTCTCCAGTGCTGCTGTTCCTCAGCCCTCCCTGCTTCCTCTATTCCTTTCTCTCTGGCCCCGAGCAGGGACAACTACTAACTCAGTGAATTGCCACCCAATATGGAGCACCCTCTGGGTCACCTCGAGGGTGAATGATCTCATATCTAGTTTGTGAGGTTTTGCTATTTTGTTGAGACAGGGTCTCACGTGGCCCAGTTTGGCCTCCGATGTGCTGAACAGCCAGCTGAGGATGACCTTGAACTTCCGATCTCCAGCCCCCACCTCCTTAGTGCTAGGATTACTTGTGCGTCAAAGTGCCCTGTGTTGTGTGGTTCTAGGAATCAAATCCAGAGCTTTCTGCATGCTAGGCAGGTACTTTATCAATGAGCAACATCCCCAGCTCACATCCAGCTTTTTTTTTTTTTTTTTTTTTTTTTTTGGTTTTTCGAGACAGGGTTTCTCTGTGTAGCTTTGCGCCTTTCCAGGAACTCGCTTTGGAGACCACGCTGGCCTCGAACTCACAGAGATCCGCCTGGCTCTGCCTCCCGAGTGCTGGGATTAAAGGCGTGCGCCACCACCGCCCGGCAGCACATCCAGCTTTTAAACAGTGGTTTTGGATGGGTTTATACGGCCTGCTGGTTGGAGTAGCCAGGAACAAGGCACAAGGGTCACTTTGGTTCTGAAATTTCCAGTTTAGATGCTGGCAGGCAGCTGGAGTCTTCTGAACTCTCCAGGTCATTTCAACCCCATGCTTCCAGAACGTGATCTGAGCCAAACTGTCTTCTTTGATCTGTAAATTATTTATTTGAAAGGTGTCACAAAGTAATAAAAATCACATGTAGTCCCACTCTTTGAATCCCATTGACTTAACAGACTACAGTTACACCAAGTCAGCACTTAGCCCAGAAAATCTAAGCTATGCAACAGCAACTCCCACAGTACAGAGGACAAAGGAACCAAAGGCGTGGAGTCTGAGACTTGCAGTGTGATCAGGGGCGGCACTGGTCCTGTCCGGGCCTCAGCCTTCTTATCCGTATCACAAGTTGTTCTCAGCTGAGTGATGGCTCTCAATTCCAGTGGTTTGTGGTTCTGAAAAGAGAAATACTTTTCTGCCTGTATCCAGATCTCCAAAGCTGACACCCTCCCACTGAGCACAGCCAGAATTTAAGCCAATGATCCATTTAGCACAGAGGCATCCCATCCTGAATTTTCAGTGACCCACAAAGTCAACAAGGGACCATCCCCAGATCTGAAAACCCTGGGATCTTGCCACCGTTCAGTTCCTGAAGTCTCCAGTGGAGCCTTTTATAGACTCCGCCAGGGACTTGTCAGGAGCTGCGCTGGCTAGTTTTCTGTCCACTTGACACAAGCTGTGGTCATCCAAGAGGAGGGAGTCTCTATTAAGAAAATGCTTCCGAATGGGGGGAGGTTGTGGCGGGGAAGGCTGGAGGGGCGGGAGGAGGGAAGAGGGGGATCTGTGATTGGTACGTAAAATGAATAAAAAATTTCTTTATAAAAAAAGAAGAAAATAAAAAACAGAAAAAAAGAAAAGAAAATGCCTCCATAAGATGGGGTTGTACACAAGCCTGCAGGGCATTTTCTTCGTTACTGGGTAAGGACCCAGCCCACTGTGGACAGTGCCGCCCCTGGACTGCTTCTGGGTGCTATAAGAAAGCAGAATAAACAAGCCATGAGGAGCAAGCCAGTAAGCCTCAGCCCTCTATGGCCTCTGCATCATCCCTGCCTCCGGGTTCCTGCCCTGTTTCAATTTCTGTCTCGATTTCCTTCCGTGATGAACTGTGATGTGGAAGTATAAAGCAAATCAATCCTTTCTTCCCCAATCTGCTTTGGTCATGGTATTTCATCACAGCAATAGTGACCCTGACTAAGACAGGAGCTAAGAAAGAAGTCCCTACCCAGAGCACGATTAAGCACAAGCTTGGAGAGCGAGGGTGCTTGCAAGAGGTCACCTCACTAACCTCAACACTCCACCTACTTCCCTACAAGAGCCCTAAGTCTTGGCAGGGAACTGACCCCACAGCCTCTAAGCTGTTTGTCCAGCTGTCCTGGCCTCCCCAGGCCACAGGTTCTTATATACCTTGGCCTGGAGAATGTATCAGGCATCTGGACACCCACTGAGCCCCAGCTAGAGTCAACACATGCTGGGAGGGGGAGCCTGGGATGAATTACAGCCTCCTCTGGGCCTCTTCTCTACATATGAAGTTGGCTCATCTCCAAAACCCCTTTAGCTTGGCAGTGAACACCTCTATAGCCACGGTGAAGGGTTCAGCTTTCAGCCATTGTGGCTCCAGGCCTATAATCCCAGCACTTGGGAAGCTGAGATCAGAGAACCATGAGTTTGAAACTAGCCTGGCATGTATAATAAGACCCTGTTGGAGGAAGAGAAGGAAGCCAGATTTGAAGTTAAGACCCTAGTCTAACACCTCATGTGCCTTATGTGCCTGAGGACCTAAGCAGACAATAAACGCCCTCCCAATTGAATGCATATTAAGTGCAGTTTGCGTAGCATAGTATCTGGCCTTTTTTTCTGGTGGGAGGTTCTTTAAGACAGGGTCTCATAGTGGTGGCACACTCCTTTAATCCCAGCACTTGGAAGGCAGACGCAGGAGGAGCTCTGTGAGTTTGAGGCCAGCCTGGTCTACAGAGTGAGTTCCAGGACAGCCAGGGCTACGCAGAAAAAAACTTGTCTTGAGGGGAAAAAAAAAACAAAAACACAGGGTTTCATATAGTCCAGAGGGCCATCAAACTTACTATGTAGCCATCCTCCTGCTCAAGCTGGTTTTGAACTCCTGAGCTTAAGCCCCCTGCCTCAGGTTTCCCAAGAGCTGGGACTACAGGCACAAACCACCATTCTTGGATAAAGGCTTCTCTAAACTCTTGACCTGTATTGGCTCATTTTACCCTCCAGGAACAAAATAAAGGGGACATTAAAACCATCCCTACCTTGAAAGCAAGGGCACTAGGTACACAGGAGTTTAATAACTTGTTCCTGGTCACATAGCCTGAGAATATGGCAAGAGGACTGACTCTGGAATTCAATGTTTTACACCAGATGCACCTTGCGAATCAAAGCCATAGAGTAGCAACCTGCCCAGTCTGTGATCCAACCAATCAGATCCAACAGAGACATCCGGTTAGTGTTCAACACTGCCTCTGATTGTGAGTAACCGAGGCTCAGGAGCCAAAAACTGTTGGAGGAATTCAAGTCAATTTAGCTGACTTGCAGCTAAAAATAAGATAGGTTCATGCTCATTGTTTAAAAAAAATAGGAGAGGTGGATAGAGAAGTGGCTTAATGGTTAAGAGCACTGTCTGTTCTTACACAGGACCCTGGTTCAATTCCCGGCACCTACATAGTGGCTCACAACTGTCTGCAATGACAGTTCCAAGGAATCTGACACCCTCTGTGAGTACCAGACATGAATACGGTGCACAGATATACATGCAGGCAAAACGTCCATACATATGAAAAAAAGTAAGATATTTTTTAGAAATAAAAAACACAGCAATGGGAAAATTTGAATCAAGACAATTAAAGGAGGAAATAGGGGCCAGTGAGATGGCTACACACAAAAAAATAATAATTAATTAATTAGTTAGTTAGTTAAGCTGGCAGGCTGTGGTGGCACGTGCCTTTAATCTTAGTATTCAGGAGGCCTTGGTAGGTGGATCTCTGAGTTCAAGGCCAGCCTGGTCTACAGAGCCAGTTCCAGGACAGCCAGAGTTACACAGAGAAACCCTGTCTCAAAAAAAAGAAGAAACTAAGGTAAACAGTGTGGTGTTATACATTTGAAATCCCAACACTTGGGAGGTGGAGCCAGGAGGAGTCATTCAAGACCAGCCTTGGCTACATACTGACCCAGAGGCCACCCCAAGCTATGTGAGACCCTGTCTTTAAAAACAAATAAAAAAGAAGAATCAAGAATGCGGAAACTAAGATCCCAGAAGAATGATCCCCATTTTGTCTGATTTTGCCCTTGGTCCCCGTGACTTCAAGAGCAACCTTTGACCACCGCTGTTTCTTCCAGTTGCACAAGGCTGTGGTCCTACAAGACGTGAGCTGTCCTTGGAAGGCCAAAGACCAGGGTTACTCAACTTAGCAAATAAGAATATAAGATCCCCAGTCAGATCTACATTTCAAACTAACACATAATTCTGGATATAAACATGGTCTATGCGATATTAGGGATATACTTTTAAAAAATTAATCATCGATCGGAAGTTCAGGTTCAATGGGACTTGCCATATTGTCTCTGGTGTTATTCCTGAAGACAGACTTTGATGTCCACAGAAACCCATCAGGAGACCACCACATTTCCCAGAGTCCAGACTCCTCAACAGAGGGAGAACAGAGGTTCCCACCTTGTCCCCTTCTGCATCCAGGTGCCCAGATGGCTGCCCCCAGTGAATCCACTCTCCACTCTCCATCTCAACCATCCCCTCCTGCCCTTTATAACCACTTGGAAAAATTCCACTGACACAAGGGATACTCACAGGGTTAATCCTCCTGACACCAAGTCACACTTTAACTCATTGTCTTCAGGCCAAAGATTAAAAGCTGCCTGCATAAGAGTCAGGGCTCCAGCAGACCCTGAAAGCTGAGCTGTCCAGACCCCCGAAGTGAAGAAAAGAGGCGAGGGCAAGGGAGGGCCAGAACCAGGGGAGAGAGAAAGGAGGGGCGGTCCACCAGCTCGCTGTCCCGCCACAGAGCCGGCTCAGTTCCAGCTCCAGGAGCCACTCAGCTGCAAAGGCAGCAACAGCCCCACTCCTCAGGCAAAGGGCAGCAGGCAGACAGACAGAGGTCCTAGGACTGGAGGTCTTCAGTCTCTGACCACTCGGCCTGGCCCAACCCCATGGCCTTCAATGACCTCCTGAAGCAGGTGGGGGGCGTCGGACGCTTCCAGCTGATCCAGGTCACCCTGGTGGTTGTCCCCCTGCTGCTGATGGCTTCCCACAACACCTTGCAGAACTTCACTGCTGCCATCCCTACTCACCACTGCCGCCCACCTGCCAATGCCAACCTCAGCAAAGATGGAGGTCTAGAGGCCTGGCTGCCCCTGGACAAGCAGGGACGACCCGAGTCTTGCCTCCGTTTTACTTCCCCACAGTGGGTACCACCCTTTCACAATGGTACAGAGGCCAACGGCACCGGAGTCACAGAGTCCTGCATTGATGGCTGGGTCTATGACAACAGCACCTTTCCTTCAACCATCGTAACTGAGGTAAGGATTTGGGGCTCCCTCTCTGTGTGACACCACTTCACCTCTCAGACAGACAGTCAGACACAGACACACACACACACAGACACACACACAGACACACAGACACACACAGACACACACACACACACACACACACACACACACACACACACACACACACACACACACACGTACGCACAGTCAAGTTCCCCGGGGGCCAAGATCTGGAGATGAGATAAAAGCATTCAAGAGGGTGGTTTCTGTGGAAGGTGGATGTGGGAGCTGCTGAGTGCTTTAAATGTACTTAGCTCCCAGGAACAGTGAGACAAACAGCAGAGCAAAGTATGACCGAAAGAGGGAGGCATGGGTCCCAGAGGACCTTCCTGGAGGAGGCTGAGGGCCTTCCCCGCGTCTGGGCTCTTCTCTGCCCAACTCTGGCTTACCTCTCCCCACAGTGGAACCTCGTGTGCTCTCACCGGGCCTTCCGCCAGCTGGCCCAGTCCCTGTACATGGTGGGAGTGCTGCTGGGAGCCATGATGTTTGGCCACCTGGCAGACAGGTCAGTCCTGGGTAAGCCAAAGAGCTGGGCTAAGCTGGGATTGGGGGCCCCTGGCTGGATTCAAGGCAGGGGTGGCTGGTTTAAGTGCAAGACTCAGGATTCTTCTTAGGTCCTCAGAGGACTGCAGCTGGGGGCCTCTCCTGTGTAGCTCAGCCTGGCCCCCCACCCCCCCCACCCCCGCAGTCCTCAGGCCCCTGACACAGGTCTTCCCTCCCCCACAGGCTGGGCCGTCGGAAGGTACTGATCTTGAACTACCTGCAGACAGCTGTGTCCGGAACCTGTGCAGCCTATGCACCCAACTATACCGTCTACTGTGTTTTCCGGCTCCTCTCGGGCATGGCTTTGGCTAGCATTGCAATCAACTGCATGACACTAAGTGAGGACTGCTTACCTATGTCCCCTCTCACCACCCGATCCTGCCAGCCTCCTCCTGAAGGTGTCCCCTCCTGAGCGCCCTCCCCCCCCACCCTGCCACCCTCAAGCCAATACCTCCCTTAGATCAGCATTTCCAGTCAACACCACCCTGCCTTCCCCAGCTCGCTCCATCTCGACTCTTACTTATTAGCAAGATTGCAGACTTGTGGTCAGAGCAGCCAAGGCAAGCCAGGTACAGGAGACCTTAGGAGAAGTGAAGACTGTATCCAAAGGAGATCCAAAGGCCGTGAGACAGGCCAGGCATGGTGGCATGTGCCCACAATCAGGAGGCAGAGGTGGGAGGACTGTCCAAAGTATGAAGCCAGATGGAGCTATATAATGAGTTCCAGGCCAGTCTGGGCTAAATAGGAAAGAATGTGGGGATGGAGAGATGTCTCAGTGGGTAAAGACATTTGCCACCAAGACTGACGGCCTGAGCTGATCCCAGGACCAACTGCTGCAAGCCATTTGTCTTCTGACTTCCACACACCTGCCATGGGGGAGAGGGAGGGAGGGAGAGAGACAGAGAGAGAATAAATAAACAAATGTGATTGTTTTAAAGGAAACATCCTATCTAAAGATAGAACTGTACTCCCAGCCAAGGAGTCAGATCTTACTCCATTTTTGTTGGTATTGTTTATTTGTTTTGTTCTGATACAGGGTCTTACCATGTGGCCTACAATTCATGACATTCAGTTTCCCCCTCCCGAGTGCTGGAATTACAGGCATATTCCACCACACCCAGTTCTCTCTCACTTTTTAAAATTAATATAAAATATCATAATTATTTTAATATTGCGGCTAGTCTAATATTTCTAAACAAGGATAAGCCAGCATCATTTGCACCAAACATACTCAGTGACTGAGGACAGTGTGTTCATGAACCATCAGTGTGCTTCCTCTAGTAGATCACACACACACACACACACACACACACACACACACACACACACAATTTCCCAGATAATGAATCTCAAGCTGGAGAGAAGAAAAGAAATTTACCTGGTCATCTCTCAAGTCCAGGAGGGAATCCAGGGATTCACAATTCCCTAGACAAAAGGAACTAGCTAGGCCTGAGCTGGAGCTGAGACATGTCTAAGGCTCCAGCTCCAAAGTCATCGTACATATTCAAGTGTATCCCGGCAGCAGAGTCAGAAGCCCGCCAGGAACCTAGCCCAGCCTCTTGAGACCATAACAGAGCAGTGGTCCTCTTCTGGCCTGGATTGATGCTTCAGGATGGAAAAAGAGTAGTGCTCTGACCACTGAGGGTGGGTCCAGCCCAAGGCCAAGGGAAAGGGAAGTGGTTTCTGCTGAGAACAGACTGAGTAGTCAGAGTAACTCTGCAGGGAAAGGGGATGTAGTCAGGCCCTGGGGGCAGAGCCAAAAAGCAGCAGGAGCGTGGAGAAGGCAGTCCCTGGGGCTCCTACTTCCATTCACTGTCTCTGCTCTCCCTACCCTGGCACCCAACCCCACTGAAACATTTTCTACAGAGCTGTGGGAAAGTACACGATTGGGAAAGGGCAGGAGCGGTGTCTCTTTCCACCCAGCAGCCCAGTTACTTGCACCACTCTATTCTAATCCCTTTCCAGATGTGGAATGGATGCCCATCCACACCCGAGCCTATGTGGGCACCTTGATTGGCTATGTCTACAGCCTGGGCCAGTTCATCCTGGCTGGTGTCGCCTATGCTGTGCCCCACTGGCGCCACCTGCAGCTTCTGGTCTCTGTGCCTTTCTTCGCTGCCTTCATCTACTCCTGGTACGTGGGGTCTGGGGTGGGAAGCAATGACCCGGAAGCCTACAGGACTACAGGGGACAAGCCAGCTCCCAGAGCAGGGCACAAACCTCCCCAGAAAATTCATCCAAGACAGAAAGCTGACCCCAATCCAATGCTTCTGTTGAACAGACTCTGAAGCCAAGGCTGTGGGGGTAGGTTTTGTCACAGAGCGGGGCGGCAGTTCTCCGGCACCCCACAGTTTGACCTGCCTGCTGATACTCCTCCTTCCCTACCCAGCACCCAAGAACTAAATTCTGCCTGGGGGATGAGTGATTATCAAAGTGGCCACTACTTTGTGATCCTTAAGGTGATCCTTAAGGGGGTCTTGGCAAGGGCCCTGGTCCCCAAACATAAATAAAACTCTACTGTATATCTCTAACCCAGAAGACTGAAATTGAGACCATGCCAACATCCACCCTCTCTCCATCCCCACTCCCAGGTTCTTCATTGAGTCAGCCCGCTGGTACTCCTCCTCAGGAAGGCTGGACCTCACCCTCCAAGCCCTGCAGAGAGTAGCCCGGATCAATGGGAGACAGGAAGAGGGGGCTAAGCTGAGTATAGAGGTAAGACACCTCTGTCCCTAGATGCTGCCTGAGCTCCAACCCAAATACCAGTACCGAGACCCGGGACTCAGAGGCTGGACCAAGGGCATTCCCTAGGAGGAGCTCAGGCCCTGAGTCATGCCTGTCCCGCCAGGTGCTCCAGACCAGCCTGCAGAAGGAACTGATGCTAGGCAAAAGCCAGGCCTCAGCCATGGAGCTGCTGCGCTGTCCTACCCTTCGCCACCTCTTCCTCTGCCTCTCCATGCTGTGGTAGGCTCAGACGGACACACCGGTGGACAAGCAGGCTGATCAAAAGACAAACAGCAGGCTGGGGGAGGGCGTGGATGCGGCGGGTGGGAAAGGCCAGGGAGGGAGAAGGAAAGTCAGCACGTCTGCTGTGAGGAGTAGTAAGGACCCTAAAGAAATAAGAGTCCTCCAGCTCAACCAGTCCCCATGCTAAACTGGTCTCCCAGCTTCTCTCACCAGCCCTGTTCCTGTACAAACCACCTCATTAGGACCAATGGTCTCCGGAGCCCACGGATCTATATTGTGAGGACAGATGAGTGTGCTTTGAAAACCACTCAGAGACTTTACTGCTCTGGTGGTGCCTGGGGGGAAAGTGGCACAGGCAGAAGAGGACCCATACGTATCCCCAAAACACACTTGGGCCAAAGATGATATAAACCCAAATCTTCCTCTCCCTGTGCAGTTGCCCCATTACCTCTCATGTGCATCGCCATGGCAATCCTATGACAGCTAAGTGGGGCGTGGTCAGAAGAACAGTCTTGCCAAAGAATTCTTTGCTGGCAAGTTTAGGTTTATTCTCTGTAGAGGGTTCTACCCCCAAACCTATGCTTTGTGAACCCCTAAACATTCTTAGCAACTAGATGAAAGTTCCCCCTGTTCCCTGGGCTGTCAGTTAGCACAGGATTGGAGGACTGCCCCAGTACTTCAACTGTGAAGTTTGAATATGCAGTTGTAGTGTCTTAAGAAGCGATAGCAAAAGCAGATCCTAGGTCCCAAAGCAGGATACCCCATGTATCACTGTATTTATGAAAGAGCACCCTTGTTTAAGCCTGTCTAACCAGCCCCACATCCCTCTCCCTCCTTACCAGGTTTGCCACTAGCTTTGCCTACTACGGGCTGGTCATGGACCTGCAAGGCTTTGGGGTCAGCATGTACCTTATCCAGGTGATCTTCGGTGCGGTGGACCTGCCTGCCAAGTTCGTGTGCTTCCTTGTCATCAACTCCCTGGGCCGCCGGCCTGCACAGTTGGCCTCCCTGCTGCTGGCAGGCATCTGCATCCTGGTGAATGGGGTAATACCGAAGGGTGAGCACCTACCAGCGTCTTGGCGCTCAGTCCCACCCACCCTGCCCCTTCAGACACAACCCAACTTCTCAGAAGAAAAGAAGCCAGTACCTCCAACCTCAGTTCCTATGCTCCCACTCTCCCCATTCCTTTCTCTCTAGACCAGACGATCATCCGAACCTCCCTGGCTGTGCTAGGAAAGGGCTGCCTGGCTGCGTCTTTCAACTGCATCTTCCTGTACACTGGAGAGCTGTACCCCACAGTGATCCGGTGAGTGGGAGCCCAGGGCACGGAGGGGAGATCTAGGGAAAAACTCCCCTGCACACACTAAAGCCAGAACCCCAGAGCATAGCTCAGTACACACACACACAAAAAAAAAAAAAAAAAAAAAAAAAAAAAAAAAAAAAAAAAAAAAAAAAAAAAAAAAACCATTAATCAGGGCAGGATATATAGGAACCAGGAACCACCACTCAGTTACACATGTCAGGGTCTGGCTGACAGAGATGTAGCTGCCCAGCCCCCACCTAACCCTAAAGGAGATCTAGGAGTCACCATCTAGAACAGGGTAGAGAGCTACATCTCAGAGGCAATGAACTGAAGACTTCAGAACATAAGTTACAAGCTGTGATCATATCTAAACTCCATCTTAAACCAACCAGCACATCTGAAACTAGAAACACAAACATGCATGCAACTTCCTACAAGAACCACTCCTGACAATATGCCAACCATAGGAATGAACTCAGCACCACTTTATAGCGAGATAGGAGAGGCATTAAGAAATAAAATAATAAGTCTACTTTAAGAATCAAATGCAAGCCGGGCGGTGGTGGTGCACGCCTTTAATCCCAGCACTCGGGAGGCAGAGCCAGGCGGATCTCTGTGAGTTCGAGGCCAGCCTGGTCTCCAAAGCAAGTTCCAGGAAAGGCGCAAAGCTACACAGAGAAACCCTGTCTCGAAAAACCAAAAAAAAAAAAAAAAAAAAAAGAATCAAATGCAAAATCACATGAAACATCAAAGACCTGAGAGGTCATAGCGCTGGGATGAGGCATCTTGAATATATATTATGCCATGCCTTTACGGGTGTTCTGTGTATCAAGCATCTTCTTAATCTTTTCACAAATATTAACTCACTTATTTCTCACAGCTGATCAAAGTAGGCACTATCATTCTCCTTCTACAAATCTGAAAACAGACACACAGAAGTTAGGTGACTTCTGCAGGGTCACACAGCTAGCAATGAAGCCTGCACCAGACCCCAATGCAGCTGCCTCCTGGGTCAATGTTTTTAACCTTTCTCTCATAGAGGATGTTCTTGGTTAGCTGGATTTATTTTTAGATATATTTATGTTTATTTTATGTATGAATGTTTTGCCTGCATGTATGTATACATACAATGTGCATGCCTAGTACCCACAGAGCACAGAAGTGGACATCAGGTCCCCTACAACTAGAATTATAGATGGTTATGAGCTGCCATGTGGGTACTGAAACTGAACCTGGGCCCTCTATGAGAGCGGCCAGTGCTCTTAGCAGCTGAGCCGTCTCTCCAGCCCCTCATAGAGAACGAATGTTCTTAACACACAAGCAACGTGCAGCCTCCAGATTCCTTCCTCTGAGGATCCTAACTAATAGGTCTCTGTGAGATGGAGACAACTATGATTCATAAGGGATGCAGGTGTGCTGGGGTGTAGCTCAGGGACAGAGCAACTGCCTTGTGGGTGTGAGGTCCTGAATTCCATCCCTAGCACAGCCAGAAAAAGGAAAACAAAAACATTCCAGATGATGGTAACCTAAGAATCACTGGTCTTACCCAATGGTCTCATGTGTCAGTTGGAAACTGAAGCCCAGAGATGTAAAGTGATTGGCTGAAAGTCACATAGCAGCTTAAGGACAGAGGCAGAACTCAGTTTCAAGTCCCCAGTTCTCTGACGACACCCCTTCTCGATTTCCCTTTTTGTTTTAAAAGTCACCACAATGGCCTGGGGATGCAAGTCAGTAGTAAAGCACCTGGCTAGTGCAAGGTCCTGGTTTTGCTGTCCAGCACAACCAGCAGCAAAACACAAAAATGTGGAATCATTTGCTAGTCGAGTAAGAAAAAGGAAGTACAGGGATGTCCGGGGCTGTCAGAACTACCCTGCTCCGAATGTGACCACTGGTACCCACATCAGAGCTCTAACCAACACCCACCTGACCACAGGCAGACAGGCCTGGGCATGGGCAGCACCATGGCCCGGGTGGGCAGCATCGTGAGCCCGCTGGTGAGCATGACTGCCGAGTTCTACCCCTCCATGCCTCTCTTCATCTTCGGCGCTGTCCCTGTGGCCGCCAGTGCTGTCACTACCCTCCTGCCAGAGACCTTGGGCCAGCCACTGCCGGATACAGTGCAGGACCTGAAGAGCAGGTAGGCACCACCGCCCCCAGAGAGGATCGGGGTCTTACTCCAGGTCACCCACCCCCAGGCTGGGATAGCACTGAGGCTCAAACCCGGGACTTCTCTTCCAGATCAGAGTTTTGTCCCTTTGTCCCCTAGTGGAGGATCCTCCCGTAATCCTTCTTGGGGCTCTCAGCCATTTGGGGGCAAATAACAGGTGACTAGTCACAGACTAAAGGGAGAGCCGGAACCATCTCAGACCTGGACAGGAGGCTGCAACCCCAGATGTCTGCTCTCCTTCCCAGGCGTAAAGGAAAGCAGAGGCAAGCACAGCAGGAGCTGCAGAAGCAGATGGTGCCACTCCAGGCCTCCACACAAGAGAAGAATGGACTCTGAGGACAGAAGGGAGTGGGCTTCTACAGGTCCTGCCACCTACCTGAGGAGGGGGAGCGAGTGGAGAGACCAGACCATCCGAGTGTGCAGGCTGCTGTTCAGAGAAATGCCTCCCCAAGGGTCACTTCAGTAGACCCCACCAGGAACAATAATTAACGGTCTGACTGTGTGCCACTTCTTAGATGGA